GCGCCGTGCGCGGGTTGGGGACAAGCCGGCGTACGCATACCTGGCGTCCAAGGGCGGCAAGCGGTACATGGAGGACGCGGTGGCGGTGGCGGCGCTCGGCGCCTCTGTCGGCCTGCCGGCGCTGGCGGCGGTGCCGGCCGATGCCGGCAGTGGCGGTGGTGGCGGGTATCTGCTGCTGGCTGTCGCCGACGGGCACTCGGCCGACCGCAAGGCCGGCGCAGACGCCGCCCGTATTGCTGCCCACGCTGTGCCCGGCGCCTTCCTTGCGGCGCTGGACGACGCCGCGGCCGCTGACTCCCGCGCCCTCGCCATCCCACCACGCCCGGTCCTCGAGGCTGTCTTTGCTGCCCTCGACGCCACCCTCTCCGCCCGGTCCTCGCGCAAGGTTTCGTTTGACTACGCCGGTGCCGCCGCCACACTCGCTGTCATCGCCCTCTCGCGCTCGGGCACACCCACTGCCATCCACGTCGCGAATGCTGGCGACGCCACCGCTGTCGTGGTCGACGCCGACGGCTCTGCCACCGTCCTCACCCGCCCGCACACCATCGACGACGAGGACGAGGTTGCCCGCGTTGTTGCCGCGGGTGGTTTTGTCTCGGACGACGCCCGCTTCGGCAAGCGTGTCAATGGGCTCAAGGTCACTCGCTCGCTAGGCGACTTTGGCTCTGATGGCACCATCTCCACTCCGCACGTCGCCTCAGCCCTCGTCACTCCCGCTTCCCACTGGCTCGTTGTCGCCTCGGACGGTCTCTGGGACGAGGTAACACCAGCAGAGCTGGGCCCGCTCATTGGCTCGGCTACCTCTCCCGCCGACGCTGTTTCCATCCTCCACGCTGCCGCGCGCGCCGCTGCTGACGCTCGCGACGGTGTTCTCGACAATATCTCAATTGCCGTCGTCGATGTGGCTCCCCCGCCCGGGCTGGAATAGCATAGCTTATGGCTCGCCCCACACTTGCAACCACACAGGCCTATTTCATTGAATGTCGTCTTCCTTTGGCGTTAGGGCCGGCCTTGACGGCTGGTCTGGACCTGGCGGCCGTCGAGCGGTGCGGCTCTTGCCGCTGGGCTTCTTGCGATATCTCGTGGTAGCGCATAGCTAGAACAACGCAGAGCCTCACTACATCAAGAACACTTTGTGGAGATTTTGAAGCATTACCTCCAGGATGGTGTTTAATTGCGATGCGTGCGGTAGAGAGCAAAGGATGCGGTGGACAAGGCTACAAAATGTGGGAGACTAAATGCTCGCGTCGCCGCCCCAGCATTTATGGGTTTCACTCCCTCCAGCACACGTTCACCAGTGAATCCCCACCCAAACTACGACCTTTTTTGGACTGCCCGACAGCCGCCGACAGTCACGCGAGCACTCCCGCCCACAAACGCAGGTGCCGTTCGTTAGGACCTTCACCGATCTCCACACACGCACACTCACATACACACAAACACACACACATATGAACAAGAACAGGTCGTCCACAAGCTCCTCGGCACGTCCAAGACAAGGTCAAAGCTCACGCAAGCGACCCCGTGATGACAACGGCGGCTGCGAACAACCCCCACCCCCGGACAAGAAGTCCAAGCATCTCGAAAACACGCCATCCCAGGGCCGTACACACGCGTCCTCGCAGGCTGCGGCGCGGGCGAGGCACCGTGCAAGAGAAAACGCTCGCAGAGCCAACGCCCACCTGGAATCCGCCCGCAACTCCTACGCCCTGGCCATGCAGAGGCTCGCGGCGACAGCTGCCGCCCTGAACGACTTCTCGGCCATTCGTCTGCGACAAAGCCTTGCAGAACAACTTGCAAAGCAAAATCGCAACCTCGAAGACCTGAAAACTGGTGCCCGCGTTCTCGACGACGCGCTCAACAGCACCGACCCGGGCCGCCAGGGCCGCTGCCCGCAAACGTGTCGAGCGCGAGCGGAAAAGGTCGGCAAAGGGGCGCCTCTTCGCGCAGCTGCGCCTCAAGATCGAGTTTGTCAAAGAGGTACCCGTCGGCGACAACTTCGACGATGACGAGTACGTATCCCGGGTCATGGCAGCTGAACCAACACAAGATGATATCTCAAGACTCACCCAGCGTGGATCGGTGCACTGGTGGCCCGAGTGGCACCCTGAACCACTCGCCATGGCCGATCTTCGGCTTCATCTCCTCTACCCGGCATTCGAAGAGAAATGCCTACTCGACGGCAACGACTATCTGCTGTCTCCGATAGAGGTACCGCGCGACTCAACGGACGACCATTCCGACGACGACGACGACAGCAACCGTGCGTGCCCATCACCGATGACCCTGGTCCCGTCGTCGCAGGCAACAACCAACGAAGGCCTGGCCCCCATGGATGTCGCCGGCACCGCCCAGCCGGATCCTGTGGCAGATGTCCTGCCGGCGTCCACCGGAGCCGCCCAACTTGCACCGCCTCGTGCCACAACTGCTCACACACCCAACCCGGCGCGCACCGCGCCCCAACCAGCTCGGGACAGCCGGACCGGTCCGGCGTCGTCACCAGCGCCTGCATCATGGTCGGCGAGGGCGGCCACTCGCATCCGGGATGAGGTCATCGGCCGCGGCATCACAAAGAGTCGGGGTCGTCGTGATCGTCGTGGTCGTCCAAGGACTCAACCGCAACAAGAACCAGGACTTGCGCATCAAACCAGGGCCCCGCGACCGGGCGACATTGTTGTTGCACCTGCGCCTGGTGCGACAAGGGCCGAGACCACCGCAACCGCGGCAAGTAGCGCGAGCGCAGCAAGCACCGCCGCCATCGAATGCGCCGCTGATGCTAGCGACATCGAGCCCGAAACCACGCTCGAGGCCGTGTTCGCTGCCGTTGTTGAGGACATACAGGAGCGGGTCCGTGTCCGTACGATGATGGCTCTCCAGCGCCGCCAGGAGCAGGCAGGTCTCGACCTCGCCACGCGGCGCTGGCTAGATGACCAAGAGGCCCAGTTGCGTGCCGAGCACTTAAGCGCCAATTCTGCTCTGGACAAATGCACCCTTGATCAGGTGGTCGCGGCGGGCCTGCACCACGCATGGTGGAATGACCTGCATGGCGACGCGGTCGCCGGGCTTGGTGAGTGCCTCGCTAAGCTCGGCCTGGACAGTGTCCACAACACCCGGGCCCCTGCCCCGCCCAACTCCCCGGCCTCGGTCTTCCCCGACGCGCTCTCAAGAGAGGACGAGCAAGACCTAGTCAACAGTGCGGTGCAGGCCATCACGGACGCCACCGACAGCGTTGCGTGTGCTGTCTGCTCACGCTCTGTCGCCGCGTCCGACGTCGAGCTCATCTCTCTCGCCAACCCTTCGCCGGCCTTTGTCGAGCGCCCAGACCGCACGCCATGCTGGTCACGCAGACCCCCGTTCAGTCGGGAAGGGGCCCAAATGCGGTCTTGTCATGTACCAGATGGTCCGCAAGCTCACGGTGCCCATTACTGCCCAGCTGCCAGCTAGTTTGGTCAATCCCGTTCCCATCGGACATCGCAAGGCCACTTGGAACAACTCGCCCTCACCACTCACCCCCTACCTCCACGCCGCACACATTCACGTCATCGACGAGGTCTCCATGCTCTCCATCACAACCCTTACCTGCATCCACTGCGCCTTGTGCAAGGCGATATGCCTCCCTTTGACTCCAACACCCCTCTCTTCGGCGGTGCGAACGTGGTCTTTGTCGGTGACCTCGCTCAGCTCGCCCCAGTCCTCGCCCACCCTGTCTACATCCATTTCGAAACCGACCTCAGCACCAGACAGCGCGCCCAGCGCGCCGCTCGCCTACACAATGCAACCACAGAATTTGAAGACATCGGTGTCAACCTCTGGGCCGCTGCCTCGGCTACAGTCGTCATCCTTAAGATCAACAACAGAGCCCGCAGCGACCCAGCCTTTGCCCATCAACTCGCCGTCGCACGCAACGGCAACTTCGCCCCAAACGGCTCCGTCGCCAAACTCATCCGCAGCCGCACCTTCGCCACCGCCGCCGACCGGGCGAAGGCTATCGCAACCGCCCTAACAACTGCCTCTGCCCTCGACACTCGAATCATTGTCTGCTCGAACGCTGCTCGCGTTGCTTGGTATACCACCATTTATGCTCGCATCGCCGCAGCTGCACACGCTGCCGAAGCCCCGCCGCCCATCATGGTTGAAGCCGTCATCTCCATCGCTCGCTCCCCACCTCGCGACTCAACCCGCAACCTTCTCCTTCGCCTTCCCGGCTCAAGCGCCACTTGCTACTACGACATGCGTGTCCCGCTCGCCATCGGAACTCCCGTCATGTTCATCGACAACATCGCCACCTCCGCTGCCATCTGCAACGGCACAACTGGTATCGTCGTCGGCGTCGTCTTCCCTGACAACGTCACATTCGTACACAAGATCCTCTCTCGCTCCGTCCCCAACTCGGTCGTACGCATCCCCAACACCCTTCCTGCTGTGGTCTACGTCGACGTTCCGTCCCTCCGTGGCCGCACCTCACACCTACCAGGCGTCCCCGACACCTTCCCCACTTCCGTTGTCGCTGTCGTGCCTCGCGCCGCTTCTGGATGCCGGCTCACCGTCCCTTCAGCCAACAGAACTGCACATGCCCCAACCAAGATCAACTTCTCCCTTCGCCAACTGCCCATTGTCGCCGCTTTTACCTCCACCGTCCACAAGGTCCAAGGCACTAGCCTCTCCGTCGCCATCATCCCTGCCTTTGCCGAGAAGACCATCTCACCCAACGCGACTCTCTCTGCTCAGGCTCTCTACGTCGCCATGTCCAGAGCACGAACTAGCAGTGGCCTCATCTTCTTCCAGTCGCCCACATTCAACTATCTCAACCGCCTCAAGTTGCCTGACAACCTCAAACGCGAGTTGCAGCGCACCACAGCCAACGACGTCGCCCCGCCACTCACCCAGTAGATAGATCCAGCATCAATGAAGTCACAACCTATACCTGGGGGGAAAGACCGCGTGACTCGGGATGCAGCGGGCGGCCGTAGGCCCCCGCCGAGGTCTCATCCGTGCGCAACTTGTTGCGCACGGATGAGACCTCGTCACAGCCTCCGATCAGTGTCACACGCCGCGCGTGCTCACAACCGCAACCTAATACCGTACCTGCAGCATCAACCATCACAGTCCCGACGATCTCCGGCGCCAGAGTACTCCACCCTCCGGGTTGAAGCATTACCTCCAGGATGGTGTTTAATTGCGATGCGTGCGGTAGAGAGCAAAGGATGCGGTGGACGACGTCGACACGGCTTGGCGCGAATATTCAGGCCGCCAAAATCGCGACTTTAATATGAGCTATATATTTATATAAATTCCTGATCAAATAAACATCATTAAATAAATCACAACATAATTTTTGAAAGTTTACACTACTAACTAAAATAAATATATAAAAAGAATATTTTGACGCTTAGGAGCCTGTTTTTGATACTTTTTGGCGTTTGCTCTTTGGTTGGCCAAACGCCTTGGTGTCAACAGAATCATGCTGCGAGAACGATTCAATTGACCCAAAGGCGTGATATGTACGCATATGCTGAAAAGGCAAGACGGTGGTTCTGAGGGGGTATCTGCGTCGAGAAGACGCGATGTGGTCTGCGGAGTGGTGTCTGACTCGGGCGGAAACGGAGCATCTCATATTGGGGTTCTGGGACCGTTCCAGGAACGCTTTCCCAGGAGCGCGATGATCGCGTCTTGGGGATACCGTTCCGGGAACGGTCCCAGAACGCTGGCGCTCAAGACCGTTCATAGAGCGATGCCGCTGAGCTCTCAGACAGCGCTTGAAGAACGCTGCCACGTCGCGATCACGTCGAAACCCCTGACCTCTGCGATCAAACACACACCTTCTGTTAGTATTGAGCTCAAGGCTCACGTTCCAGTCTGCCGCAGACTCTAGCTTTCACCTCCACACATAGAGGCACGCACGACAAGACGTTCACCACGCGCGCCAAGCTTCTTGTAATCTATATAACCCACCCACGCCATCCATCGATCTCATGACTGTATAAATCGCTTGTGTTGTCACACCACATACTGTCCGCCGCCTGTCAAATCCAGCTGCGATGACATATCAGTCGACGACGACCCGCCGTTGAAACCATTGTCGTCGGTCGACGGCTGGACACTTGCAAATGGCACGCCACTATCGCCGCCGTCGTCGTCATCGTCGGTCGATGCAGTGATGAAAGTGAGCGAGCCGCCGCCGCCGCTGCTACTGCGGCTGCGCGTTGATGACGCCGAGGCATCCGCGGCGCCAGCCACAGCAAGCGCGGCGAGATCGTCGACGCTGTCGAGCAGGCCATCGCCGTGGAGCATGACCTCGTCGAGCGCCTTGAGGATGTCATCGACGTCTTCGGCGCCCTGTGCGTCATCAGCGTCATGGGCCGGATGGAGAACATGCCGCGCCCGCTCGAGCTTGGCCTCGCGCTCAGCCTCGCGCTTGGCATTCGGTGTGAGCTTGCGGCCAAACACATTGCGGTCAAGGTGCGGGTGCAAGAGCGACCACAGAATGTACAGGACGCAGAGCGCGATAATGCCGTACGGAAAGTACTCGAGGACAAACGCGAGCTGGTTTGCCTCGCTATCTGTCAGCGCCGTCTCCGACTGCGTCCACGCCACCGTCGCCAGCATTGCGGTCACCAGCAGCATCAGAAGCGTCAGCGTCTCCAGCATGTCCAGCGCAGAGTCGAGGTATGGCCGAAACATGAGGTGTAAGATAGCGAAAAAGGTAAAGAGCACAAGCAAGAGCATCCGCGTAAAGTCCGGCTCCTCGCCCGAGAGCTGAAGGACAGACACCACCAGCGTCTTGCGCAACTCTAGCCACGGCGACCACATGAAGAACGCCCGCTCAAACGGAAACAGCAACATGCCAAGCATGCCATGGGCCCACTGCGGAAGCCACCTTCGCCGAATCCGCTGCACCACAAGCGCAAGCATCAGCGCCACAGGCAGAGCATACACGTACAGCCCCGCAAGCACAAACGCTACCACCCGATAGCGAAAGTACTGCGGGTTCCACGCCCCGTTCTTGTCCTTGCACTGCACCGTCACGTCCGCCACAAGCAGCTGCTCGTGTTCCTCCTCCGGGAAGGGCGCGCGGCACCGAAGCATCGCCAGAATCAAATTCATCGTCGGTGTGTACGTAAAGAGCACAATCATCAACAGTGCACGCCGGAACCGCTCGTTGATCGACAGCGCTCCGAGCTTCGCCTGCACCATCCGCTTTGGCGAGAACCCGTGATGTGACACAGCCACAGACGCCTGCTTGGCCACAACAGCCGCGCTGGCAAGCTCGCGCTCCACCTCGGCCAGTCGCTGCTCCCGCAGTTTCGGGTTGTGCATCACCACCGCCAGCGACGATTCAGCCAGCCCGACCTTGTCGTCACCTTCCTCCTCTTGCTGTTCGACCACAGCCCGCCACGCTTGCGGCCCAAACAAATCGCCGGACGTCGCCGAAGAGCTCGACGACGTCTCACATGGTGATCTCGAGTCGGACGACGCCGTTGACGCTGTCGACGTTCCGGTTGCACTCCATCCTTGCCGGCCACGCCCGACCGTACTCGCATCGCCCACATTCACCGGCGTCTCCTCGCTCATAGCCACCAGCGCCACCCCGTCGGCAGCCACTGCCCGCACCTGCGACATTGACATCGAGCTGGAGCTGGTGCTCGAGCTCGAGCTTGAGGCCGAGCTTCCGATCGAGCTGGAGCTGCTCGAGCTGGAGCTGGTACTTGACATAGTCGAAGATGACTTGCGCTTCCGCTTCGCCTTGCGCTTCTTGCGGCTGTGGTCCTTCTTCTTCTTCTTCGACTTGTGCTTCGACATCGACACGCCAGCGACTGTGCCCACCGATGTCGCCGCCATGACGTTGTCTTCTGCCTCCATCCCGCGCATATGGATCCGAAGCATCGCCGCTTTGGCCGCCAGAAGAATCACTCTCTCCTCAGCTTCATCTTCCCACTTGAGCTCCGCGATCTCGGGATTTTTCTCACCGTACAGGTCAATGCACCTGTGGAGCAGCCGCTCAAAGCTCCACACCAGCAGCAGGAGCATAACAAAGTACACCGGAACAAACATCTTGATGATAAACATCTGGTAGATCGAGAGCGGCATCATGCACGTGTCCGGAATCGAGTCGAGCGAGGCCGAGAAGAGCGTCCACGTGTTGGCGTCCTCCGCCTGTCGCCGCGGGAACGCTGCAATGAGAAACCCGAACATCTGGCCAAAGAACACAATGATCTTGGTGTTGCCCGACGACGCCGAGGCAAACCAAAAGTTGAACCAGGTGAACGCCAGAGGCAGCACAACACCGGCAATCAGGATGGCCATCACATTCGGCTCCTTGCATTCGACGCACTTACCGGCCGTCAGCTTGAAGCCCGGCACGCAACTGCCACACAAATCGCCGGTGTGGTGCGGCGCGCACTCGTTGTCGCCACGGCAGAGCGAGGTCTCGCACTTGCCAAAGAACACGTCAAATTTGGCGCCCGTCACCACCTGGAACTGCGGCTGGTTCGTCTGGAACGTTGTCCCATTCACATCCGCCCCGCATAGCTCAGCCACCGACTCGTTGAGCATCCGTGCCACCGTCGCATCAGAGTTGCCCAGCCGATCCACCTCTTCCTGCTCTTTCTCCACAAGAAACCGGTAAAAGCCCGGATTGGCCTTCACGAGGTCAAGCTCGCACGATGAGCTCGACAAGTCGCACGGCACACACTCGAGCAGCGGGTTGAACGTGTACGTCCCGGCCTTGCACGGCTCGCACTCGGTCTGCCCCGTCCGCGGATTCCACGTCCCACTCGAGCAGAGGCAGCACGACGACGAACCGCGCCGCGGCTGGTATGTTCCTTCGGGACACTCGGAGCACCGCGTCACGTTGCCCTTGGAGAACCGCCCTGGATCGCACTCGGAGCACGACGACCGGCCCTCGACGTCCGAAAACGTGCCTGGCGGGCACGGGAGGCACGCCGCCATGCCCTGGTTCGGCGCATACGTCCGCGGTGCACACTTGGAGCACCGCGGCGCGTTGGGCACGTCCGAGTACGTCCCAGTCTCGCACAGCAGGCAAATCTCTCCCACAAGAAACTCGCCCGGAAGGCACGCCCGGATGATGATAGAGTCAAGCGCAGGCGTGACAAGCGGAAGCGACCGGATCGAAAACGTCATGTTCTGCGGAATGCCCGGGTATGCTGTCACCGCAACCTTGCCAAACCGCGCCACACCAGCGACCGCAGACTCGACTCCGCCACGAACTACCGCGTTTGGCACTGTCAGCGTCACCAGCGCGTTCGCTGTCACCGCAGGCTGCCCGTAAAAGTCCACAAGGCCCAGCACCCACGGATCTGCCACCTCGAGCCCGGACGCGTATGGAATGTTCGGGGGCTCCGAGAGGAGTTGCAGCCGCGCCACATGCGTTGCGTGATCCGGCCCATACACAGCAGCATTGCCCGAAAACGTGTTGCCCGCCTCGGTGAGCGGCTGCGCCAAGTCGCGCCAATGCACGGCCCCGCCCGGGCCAACCGCAACGTTGTTGCGCAGCGTCGAGCTCGTCACTGAGCCCGAGGTGCCGTGGTCAACCACCAGGCACCCGCCGGCGCCGCCGGCAAAGTTACCACGGCAAGTGATCGCGCTCACGCTCACTGTCGCCACGCGCCCAAACAGCCCACCGCCGTCCACAGTTGCACCGTTGTCTTCCACCGTAGCGCCCGAGCTCACATTCAGCGCGCATCCATCCGCGAACAGCCCGCCGCCGAACGTTGCGTTGTTCTCCCGAACAACCACCGACGCTCCGCTCACGCCCAGCACCGGCACGCCCAGCTCGGCCACGTCCGACAGGCAGTACACACCGCCGCCGAGACCTGCGCCAGACACGCTCTCTGGCTCGTGCACGTCATCGCCGGGCACCAACTCTGGCAACGAGGTTGCCTGCGCCACTCCGTTGTTGCTCACCACCGCCGATCCACTCACTGCCACAGAGCACCCGTACGCAAACACGCCACCGCCACGCCACGGTGCAGTATTGTTGACCACCGCCGTGTCCGCAAGCACCAGTACGCTCTCTAGCAGCGAGACGTGCGCGCCGCCGCCGGCCTTGCTCGCAACGTTGTGCGAGAGAGAGGCCGACGTCAGATCGACAGCCGCTGCACGCACCGCGTACAGCCCGCCGCCGAGCACCGCCACATTGTGCTCAATAGCTGCGCCAGACGGCCCAGTCACCCGCAAACTTGCGCCATCGGCGGCAGCTATGCCGCCGCCAGCTTGCCCGGCCCGATTGTGGCTCACGAGCACTCCGCCAGTCAACGCGAGAACCGACATCGAGCCGCCCGCCAGCCCGCCGCCGCTCACGCCCGCCGAGTTGCTCCTCATCAGCCCGCCGCTCACAGACACCTCGGCCTCGAGTGCAAACACTGCGCCGCCGCGCTGACTAGCCACATTCGCGGTAAGAGTTGTGCCACTCACCGCCACGCCCGACGACGCGCTTGCGCCAAGCCCTCCTCCGCTGCTCCCGGCGCTGTTGTTGTGGAACGTGGCGCCGGTCACCGACGCCACGCCGACAGCTTGCAGCCACAGGCCGCCGCCGTACTCGCTGGCAACGTTGCCGGTCACCAGAGCCCCGTTCAGAGTCACCGTCCCGCTTCCGCTCTCGCCGCCGTGCTCGCTACCAAGTCCGCCCGCCCAGAGCCCTCCGCCGCTCCGGCTGGCCGTGCAGCCTTCGATCCGCGCACTCCCGGAGACCGCCAGCGTGGCACCGGCGCTCACCGCAAGGCCGCCGCCAAACGCTGCCCGCGAGAGCACCACCAAGCTCGCACCGCTGAGGCTTGCAGACGAGCCTGAGCCTACCGCCAACAGACTCCCACCGCTGCCCGAGGCCCCTACGACAGAGTTTCCCGCTAGCACACTGCCTGCCGCCGTCCAGCTCGCGCCTGAGGTGACCAAAACCGCGCCGCCGCCCGGGCCGCTCGCCATGTTGCCCTCCAGCCGCCAGCTTGCCGCGCTGTGGCTCGCGCTCGTTCCTGTGCCGGCGAGGCAGAGCCCACCGCCGCCGTCCGCTGCAGAGTTGGCGTTCGTGGTCACGCTCGCTGCCACGTCGACACTCGCTCCGCTACTTAGCGCCAGTCCACCGCCGCACCCGACGCTGGCGGAGTTCGAGCTGACGCTTGTTCCGGCGCCGAGGTTGATCGTGCTCGAGTGAGCGGCTGCAATGCCGCCGCCGCCACCTCTGGGCCCACTTGCGGTATTGCTGCTAACAGTGACGCCAGTGAGTGTGGCTGTGCTCGACGCCGCAAGCGCGAGGCCGCCGCCGCTGTCGGCTGTGTTGGACGAGAGCGTGACACCTGCGGCGACAGTGACCGTCGCCCCGGACGTGGCCCAAATTCCGCCTCCGCTCACTGACGCGCTCGCGCCCGAAATCGTGCTTGCGCCCAAGAGGTCCACCGTGGCATTGGTGGCCGCCAGTGCTCCGCCACGGACAGCAAGAGAGCCGGCGCCGCAGGTGCAGGTGTCCATCGAGACCGAACCGCTGCCGTCCACCGCCAAGTCGCCGCCATCGACACCTGCAGAGTTGCCGTTCAGCGTCGAGCGGGCGAGAGCGCCCGAGACGCCGTGCAGCGCAATGCCGCCGCCACTTCCGCCGGCAGTATTGTTCGAGACAGTGAGGTCCTCCAGACCGCCCGCCACAGACGCTTCGTCGCCGACGTACAGGCCACCGCCGTCGCCGCCCGCAGTATTGGCCTGAAGCGTGGTGTCTTGCAGCTTGGCCGAGGCGGCGGGGCCGGAGATGCAGACGGCACCGCCGTGTCCAGCCGCGGTTGATGAGACAATTTGCGAGCCGCTGATGAAGCTGGCAAAGCCTGAGCCCGAGACGGCAACGCCTCCGCCGCAGCCGCTTGCCTGCGACGTGGACACCACCACGTTCGAGAGCGTTAGTGAGCCACTGTCGATCCACAGCGAGCCACCTGCGCCGGATGCTGAGCAGCCGGTGATCGTCATGTCGGCGAGCGTGACTCGCGCCGAGCCACCAACGCGAAAGGCACGCGCTCCGCCAGTGGTGCCGGAGCAGTCTAGAGTTGTCGTCGCCGGCCCATTGCCGCGAATCCGCACCTCGGGCCCGCCCAGCACCCCGTCGAGCATGAGCCCGTCGGACAGACAGCCTGCGTGGGTGTCAGGAAGCACCACATCGACGAGCGCAGTGGTGGCATGCCGCGGCGCGGCACTGAGTGCAGCAGAGAGCTCGCTCACGGTTGCGCCCGAATTGAGGGTGACCGTGCAGACTTGCGCATCGAGACCACAGGCGCTGCCGGCCACAGGCACGCATGCTCCCGTCCCGGGGCACCACCCACAGGCAACGTGCTGCGAGCACGCGCATGTCGACTGGCTCCGGCTTGCGCAGACGCTGGATGCGTCGCGGAAAGTGTACTCGAAGCTCAGCACTGGCGCTGTGGCCTGGCCGCTCGAGCTGGTGGCGACAACCAGCATCCGCGAGGCCGTGGCGCGGGTGGCGAGTGCAGGAAGAACTGCCGAGCCAGCATTGCTCCTATCCACAATATTTGAGGCGTCGAGGACGCCAAGAACAGGGTACCGCTCGTCCGGGCCGTCGTAGACGGTGAGCACGTCGCCAGCGGCGCCGGGCGCCACGAGTTGATTGAAAGCTCGGTATAGCCAGTATTCGAGGATGGGCCTAGGAGCCAGCGGCAGCCGCCACTGCGTGCAGGCAGATGAGCCGTGACGATGCCACGGGAGGCATCGGCGCCGGTCAGCGTCGCCAAACCGCGGCACCGGTTGCTCACCACAAACTCAACCGATTCGGAGCCGCTGAATCCAGAGCCATCGGCTTCGGCCACCACGTACGGCCCGTCTGAGACTGCGTACAGGCTGTAGCTGCGGAGCGCCGACGGCGGCGAGACGGTGAGCGTAAAGTTGTACAAGGTGCCGGACGTGACGGTGATGTTGCAGAGGCGCGCAAAGCTCGCATCCTGCCCGTCGATGGCGGAGTTGGGCGGGCAGAGCGCCGGGCCAGCGGTGAACGAGCTCGAGCCGCCGTCAATTGTCCACGACGCGCTGATTGACGAGTCGTCCGGACTCAGGTCGAGGGCAACAACGAGGCTCGCGTCAGCGGTGCCGACCGCGGTCGCAGCGGGATCAGGCGAGGCCTGGACAACAGCAGAGCCGTAGCCGAGGTGGGCGATACTCACGGCGGATTGGGCAATGACTCGCGAGAGGCCGGTCGCCTCGTAGACAACCGAGAGAGCAGCGGTGGTGGTCGACTCGCAGGGGACAGAGTAGTTGCCGGCGCAGACCGGCGACGATGCGTTGTACATCGAGGCGCTTGCGGTGCAGCAGACGGTCTCGTCGACGGTGACATCATAGATGAGCGCCGAGTAGTCCTCGGCAAAGTGGGTGTCGTAGATGCAGCACTCGAGCGAATTGTCGGTGGTGTTGCGGGTGCATGGGTCGTCACCGAGCCGCTCCTCGTTGGCGGCGTTGTCGCTCACCGAGCCGCATGTGGGCTCGGCGATGCGGCCGGCAACTGTGAGGACAAAGGCATCAAGTGCGGCCGAGGGGACAACGACCGAGCAAGAGATGTTGAGGGCGGTGCCGATGGCACCAAGCGAGGCAACGGTCGGCACCTCGGTGAGTCTGCACGGATTGGCAACGTGGGTTGCGGTGGCAGCCATGGAGCCAAGGAGAAAATCGCCTGCAGCCGGCAAGTTAGCGGCAAGTAGAGAGTCGCCGCGCGGCTCGTCGGTCGGCGACGCGCTGAGGCCCGCGAGCATGGTCGAGGAGAGCAGGACCTTGCCAGTTGCCATCGACGTCACGTTCCACGACGCGTTGTCGCTTGCAAGGAACGGCTCCGAGGTCGCGGCAGAGTCGTGGATGGCAAGGCGGAGCACGACGCGGTGGTCGTCGGCGACCTGCCGCGGTAGAGTGTACTGCTGGCTATTGGTGTCGCTGCCGAGGCAGTCCCACGAGACCTTGAATCCAGCGTCGACGTTGGGCTCAGGCCCCGATTCAAACTCGATGCGAACGCTCGGGCCCGACCCTCGCCAAACCAGCGCCTCTGCGGGCAAACTCGACGCGTTGCCGGAGAACTCGACAATCTGGGCGTCGGTACTGACCGGACCGTCGAGGATGCGCAGGACGGCGCCACCGTGGACGAGGGAGGTGGCGGTGGCGTCGATGGTGACCTGAAGGGTGCCGGCGCAGATGGTCGGCGTCACAACCCACGCGCACCTTGCATTCGGCCGGTAAGTGGTGGCCGAACCCGATGGGTTGGCGATCTCGCCTACCAACCCGGTCAAGACCTGGACGCCGTAGCAGTGGTCACCATCGGCGGTCGAGAGCGCCGGTGGCGGAGCAGGTCCAGGTGGAGCGCCAGAGTTGGCTCGGAAGCCGAGGCTGACGACCGGCAGCGCCGAAAGCTCACCGGCGGCGAGGATTTCAAGTCGAGCGGTGGCGCCCGATGCCGGCGGAATGGTGCCGGAAATGGCCGAGCCGGTCGCCTCCATCAGGATAGTCCCATCCGGACTACTGCCGTCGCGCAGGCGGACGACAACCTCTCCAGCAACCGTCTGCAGCGTCAAGAGCTCAAAACTGAGAACAGAGGCGGCCGGCCCGCTCAGCAGCCAGACGCACGACTCGCCGGGGCCAATCGAGGTGGCGGCGTCGAGGTCAACCGAGCCAGTCGAGGTGACTTGCGAGACGGCGACGGCGGTCTTGGGCGCACAGAGTGCAGGACCCGAGGCTGGGGGCGCGGCCGACGCGGCCTCAACAGCCCACGACACCGTGAAGCCCGAGGCGGCGGTATGCTGGTAGTGAGCGCCGAAGAACACAATTGACGCGCCGGAGACCGGAGCGTGGACGACGACAGGATCACTTGTTGCGCCCGGGACCAGCGGAATGGCCGCCAGCAGACGGGCGTCGGCACCGTCGGCTGCACGCGAGCCGGCGTAGACTCGGACGGTGGAGCGGCGGTCGAGCTCGATGTCTGCCAGTGAAACGCGTAGGAGGTGATGGGCGGCGGCTGAAGCGGGGCGGATGAGCCAGCCGCAGGCCGCGCCGGGCGGGATGTCGCCGCCGACACGGAACGAGCCCGATGCAGCGGTGAGGGCGGCCGGAACGCCTGGCGCGCAGGACGTGGCGGCGAGGGCGCAGGATGGGCCAGCCCAACCAGGAGCGCAGACGCAGCGCGAGTCGTCGATGCACACGCCATGGGCCGAGCATGCCGCGGAACAACCGCATGACGAGCAATCGCCGCCGTCGCAGGCATGGCACCGAAGGTCGACCACCGGCGAGGCAGCCGCATCACCGCCGGAAAACGGCGAGCCGTCGTCGCATACGCCATTGCCGAGCCGGGTTGCAAGGACGCACCCGCCGCCTCCGGCCATTCCCGTTGCGCCGCCAACCAGGCTGGCGGCGGTGACGAGGCCGGACCGGGCCGAACGCCCACACGCCGCCACATAGCCTGGAGGGCAGCCGGAGTCGGCGGCGGCCACCGCGGGCGAAGCCGCGAGAAGCAGCAGTAGTAGCGCGGCGAAGAGCGGGCCTCGCATGAGGACGTGGAAACTTTGTGTGTATGTGTGTGGTGGGGGGGGGGAGGGGGGGGGAGGGTGAGGGGGTTGAGGGTGGAAGGGGGTGGGTCGGTGACGGGAGGTGGTGGTGTGAGATGGCTGTCGAGTTTGTGTGTTGTTGCGGCGTTGCATGCTAGCTGAAGTTGCCACATGTTTTTCTTGGATACTTTTTTCCCTGGTGAATTTCTCTGGTTCGGCCAAGTTGGACCGGGCCGGTTGGCGTTGGCAGGATCTGGCATTTTCGCGCCGAGCCGTCGGCCGGTGCGTATCGGCAAGAACGCCGGTCGCTGGCTGGCCACCGCACCCCAATTGAGGTTTGAATGGCCGAGTACAAGCTTGGTACGTGGCGGGAAGGAGGTGGGGGGGGGGGGG